AAAACAAAACAAACCCACAAAACAAAATTAACTATCAAACAGAAGAAAACATCAACTGAGGGTGTCAGATAGGGAAGCTAACTGCTGGAAAAGATGAGAAAAAACCCGGTGCAGACTGACTTCCTGGACCTGGACCAGACTCGGGAAGTCTACCGCCAGGCAGTTCATTTCCAGCAAATCTAAAACAGTACAATGTGGGAGAAGGTTCCCAGGCAGTAATCAGTCCAATCGTTCCCATCCCAGGTGCACACGAAAGCTTAAGGTGTGACTTAGAACTTCTCTACAAAGTACGTGGGACCACGGGGGTGGGCCTAGAATCTAGTGACGTCTCGGACCAATAGCATAGAGGTCAGCAGGCCATAAATACATGTGACATCTTCCCTAAGGATGATCCAGGGAGGGAAAAATCTGGGGTAATCATTCTGGGAGACTTGGATGAGGTCTGCCTTTATAGCAAAAGGTGGGTGAGGTCTGCCGCCACAGATAGCATGAAGGTCAGCAGGTCATTACCAATATCCACTCCCAGCCTTCTGGGAGGGAAAACAGGTATTTTATCTCCTCCTTTGGGAAGAGGTCCCTGTGTGTTTAACATTCCTGGTTTCCCTAGTGATCTGTGGGTGCAAAGACCTTTGTGCCCCCAACAATCAACCAAAAGATTGACATTTTTTAGAAGGGACTGGTAAGGTGGCTTAGTGAGCTTGCCACCGAGTTCTGAATACGATACCCAAGATCCAGTGGCAAAAGGGGAGAGTAACTGAAAGTTGTCCTCTGACCTCCATAGCACATGACATGGTGTATGTACGCACGTGCGCGCCCACGCACGCACACGCACACAGACACACAGACACACACAGACACACAGAGAGAGAGAGAGAGAGAGAGAGAGAGAGAGAGAGAGAGAGAGAGAGAGAGAGAGGGGAAGCAGGAAGCAATGGCTATAGCAGCTGAGTTTCCTCTCACTAAACCTCCCATAATACCTGTCCCGAGCTGCTGTGCTAATCAAACTCATCACTAAGGGACTTCAGTGCAGCAGGCACCCCTGCCACACACATACTATTGGGACACTGTGGGACTGCAGTACCAACCGTCTACATATGTAGGTGCCTGGCTGCCATCTATACACCTGTGATGCCCATGATCTTTACGTGATGTGTAGAAAAATAGATCAGACAGGCTTGCTGTCTGGGATTCCTGATTTCCAGTTCAGCATCTTCACCTTGGTCTGGAGGGGATGTGAACTGCTATGCCTCCAGAGGGAGGTTGGGGCTGGGGCTCAGTTGGGCCAGAGTGCTTGCCCAGCATGCAGGAAGCCCTAGGCTTCATCCCAGCACTGTATAAACTGGGCATGATGGTGCATGTCTATCATCCCAGCACTTGGGAAGTGGAGGCAGAAGGATCAGAAGTTCAAGGTCATCCTAGCTAGTGAGTTTGAGGCCAGTCTGGGATACATGAGGCCCTGTCTCAAAACCATTAACATCACAGGAGACATTTTTAGGAATATAGCTGTCCTACAGAAGGAAGCTTGGTGCCAGTGTCTGGCTGAGTGGGAGGCAGCCAGAAAATAGGAAAGAGGGGAGAACCCCAAGGATGGGACAGCACCCAAAATGCTGTGGTGACAGAGGGTTTCCTGGCTCTTCTCTGTAGAGAGCGCATTCTCTCTGGCAAGCTGGTGCGCAGAGCCGAGAAGCGGCTGAAGGAGGTGGTTCTTCAGGTGGATGAAGAGCGCAGGGTGGCCGACCAGCTCCGGGACCAGGTGAGCAGTTGACCTCACCACAAACAGTGGGCGGTGGGATCGAAATGAGAAAATAACACTGCTGGCCTGGCCTGGCAGGTGGCTCAGTGGGTTATCCCAGCTATGGTGGAAGCTAAGGCAGGAGGATCGCTATGTGTTCCAGGAGAGGCTATGCTACAGTGAGAGACCCCTTCTCAAACCAGGAGCAACAATGAAAAAGATCCTGTAGTCTGTAGGTGACGGAGCCTGTACGTGACTCCAGGTCTATGCTCAGATAGAACACCCGTGTCCTTAAAAGCTCAGCTATGCCATGCTTGCTGTTCATTCCACAGATGATTATTGAGCATGGCCTTTGTGCCAGGCACATTGCTAGGCATTAGGAGTAAGGCGCTGGAAAGGTTCCAGAAGGTCCTGGCCCTCACAGGGCTCACGCTACCAGCCTAGGGAAGGTATACACACAACCAGACAAAGATAATGCCAGACTTTGGTGAGGGCTGTGAAAGAAAAGAATGAAGACACAAGAATGGAGAGCCTTGTCCAAGTTGGGTGTTGGAAAGGGCTATGGGGGTGACGTTTGAATTAAGACCTGATAGGAGAAAAACACCCAGATGGAAAGAGCAGGAGGTTCAAAGTCCCTGAAGAAAGGAAGCAAGCAGAATGAATCAATATAGCTAGAGAGGGGAATATAAGAAATGAAGTCAGCCTGGGGATGTGGCTCAGTTGGTTGGGTGCTTACCTAACATGCACAAGACCCCGGTTTTGATCCCCAGCATTGCACTTGGGAGATGAAGGCAGGACCACCAGACGCTTAAGGTCACCTTTAGCAACATAGTGATTTCAAGGCCAGCCTGCACTACATGAGACAAATGAAGTCACATGATGTGTGTGTGTTCTTACCCTGGAGAGAGGTGGCAGTGTCTGGGGAGATCAGGGTGAATTTGGTGAGTTCTCTGGGTTAATCAGAGACATGGACATGAGGAAGTTTATGTTAGGTCTGGCCTCTTACCCAGCAGTCCTGGGGAGCCAAAGGAGAGCTGGCGATCCAGGGGGGGGGGGGGGGGGGGGGGGGGGGGGGGGTGCTGCTCTGAGTGTGCTGGCGCCTTCCAGTGCTGTGACATGACTTCCAAGGTGCCACGTGTTCATACCAGACAGAGCAATGGCAGGTCAAGGAACTAATTCCACCAGGCCAGTTTGGTAAGCCAGTGAGTTTATTGGGGTCACTTATAGGACCCTGGGTGACTCTACAAAGACAGCTGCATCACCAAGACATCTCACCCCAGCATGAGTGATTGGCTCACAAACCCTGCAGCCCCTGAGGCTCATCCTTGTCTACTTCGCTCCGGCCTCCTATACGCTCTTGTACCCCAAAGACCACAGGCAATGGGCGGGAGGCAGAATCTCACTGGAGGGTTAGGTGTTCTCTGCTCCTTGGATTGCTAGCAGCCTAGTCTCGGTTGCCCAACAACCAGCTGTCTTGTGCATATTTTGTTGCCATAACTGTGAAGATCTCAGTAGGTGACCACTACTAGGCACTGGGGGCATCATGGGAATGAGCTGGTCCCCTCCTCCACTCAGCTGGAGAAAGGCAACCTCCGCCTGAAGCAGCTCAAGCGGCAGCTGGAGGAAGCAGAGGAGGAAGCATCGCGGGCGCAGGCTGGCCGGCGGCGGCTGCAACGGGAACTGGAGGACGTCACAGAGTCGGCGGAGTCCATGAACCGGGAGGTGACCACGCTGAGGAACAGGCTCCGGTAAGCCACCCGAAAGAGGAGAGTAAGACCTGGCCTGCATGGGGCTGGGACCCTGGGGTGGGGAGGAGGCTATGGCTTCCCTGCCTTCCTGGACCTGCACTTTTCAGTCTCCTCGCTCGGGTGCCTTTGTTCTCGGCGGCATCTCTGCTCTCGTCTCTGTCTGCACCTCTGCCCCGCACCATCACTTATGGATTCTTGCCCACAGGCGTGGTCCACTCACCTTCACCACTCGCACGGTGCGCCAAGTGTTCAGGCTGGAGGAAGGCGTGGCTTCTGACGAGGAGGAGGCTGAAGGGGCGGAGTCTGGGCCTGCACCACCCCAGGAACCTGAAGCTCCACCCCCTGCCACACCCCAGTGATCCAGTCTGCCCTGGATGCCCCAAGGACGGGGGTTGTCCCAGTGTCCCTCCTGGCTTGCACTTTGAAATGATGCTGCCCTCTGGCACTTTTTTGGCATTGACGAACCCTACTGGGACCCCAGGACCCCCACCCACTGGGGCTCCAAATCAAGGCCCTAAACCAAGGAGCCGGGTGGCAGGGAGGCACGAACGGCCACTCTTGTTAAGGAGACAGAATGAGCATGGATGGCAAGGATGTCCTGTTTGCTCCTATTTCCAGCACGCCTGTCCCCTGCAGGCGGCCTCCATCTCCTCCCAGTGTCCTGCCCTCTTTTATGGGGTGGGGGAAGGTCTGTGTGCTCACAGGGTAGGTCCCTCATGCTCCAGGCACTGAAGAAATAAACTACATCTGACTGGATCCTTCACCATGGCTGCGTTCCTAACTGGGGACCAGAGTGCGTTCCTCGGCTGCTCTGATATGTGAGATCCTCCCTAGGGTCTGGGTATTTACTGTACAAGACAAAGTAAAGGTGTTCCACTATGTGCTGGGCCAACCATTGTCCCCTCAGCGTCCTGGAGCAATTGCTGAGGGAGTAAGGTACATCGTTCCGGCCTTTCAGAGTGTTAGTAACCGGCCGAGCTCCTCGCCGGGGCACACAGGAAGAGTGAACCAGGACCCAAACTCCAGTCTGGCTTCAGGGTTGGTAATCCACACATGAAGACATAGTTTTCATAAGCATCTTGCATACCTAGGACACTCTCCCTGGGTTCTAGGACTCAAGTTCCTGTATATTCTCTCATATATTCCAGTTAAGAGGGCTGTTCATGTTTGTCATCAAGGAAAGCAAGGCCAGCACTTGCCCCAGTGCCCAAGGACGCCAAAAGAGCAGGTCCCATGGGGGGATTCTTGGCAGGGGCTCTACCACTGAGCCACATCCCCAGCCCTCACTGGGATTCTAGGCAGGGGCTCCACCACTGAACCACACCCCAGCCCCTCACTGGGGGATTCTAGGCAGGTGCACCACCACTGAGCCACACCCCAGCCCCTCACTGGGGGATTCTGGGAAAGTTTGTTCCCAGACCAGGCTGTGTTCCCCCTACCCCTTGAGAGGGATGATAGGCCGGCATCACCCAGCCCAGCCCCCACCTCTGTGCACCCCAAATCCAAATCAGAAAAGCCACTTTTAAATGAAAAGGAATCATTTATTGGGCTGGGGAGGGGCATGACACTGTTTCTTTGTGGGGGAGGGCTGACATGCGGCAGCTTCTGCATGGGTGGTTCATGCACCCTGGGTGGGCGTGGGGGAGGCTTGGGGGAGAAGCCTACCGACCCCTCCCTCCCTGCCTGCGGGTGGGCCAGGAAGACCCGCCGTTAGCACCAGTTGCAGACCTCCCCTCCCCCAGACTCAGGACCCGCCCCCATCCCTGAGAGCGCCCCTTGGCCAGCCCCTCCCGCGCCAGGCCAGGCCAGGCCCGTCTGCCCACTAGAAGAAGAGAAACTTATTGCTGTGAGTGTGTGGGGAAGGAGGGGAGCTGCTGAGCTCAGGAAGACCCCCTTGCCCCCTGCCAATCATTCCTCCCCATCGCCCCGCCCCCAGCCCTAAGTCCGTGCGTCCCCCCACCAGCGCAGGAGGGGTGCGCGACGCATGCGTGTGTGCGTGTGTGTATGTGTGTGTGGGGGCGCGTCATGCAGCGCATGCGTGCAGTTGCAGGCACCCTGGCGGCCGTGGGGAAAAGGGAGACCAGGACCTGGCTCTCCCTCCCCGAACCCCACACTATTTGGTAAATTGGGAGATATGAAGGGGGCAAAAATCACGTTTTGTAGACATTTATAATGATGGTAGCTTTTTTTTTTTTTTTTTAAAGCTTAACTAAAAAGCTGAATACGTGTGGGAAACTGGAGAGCAGGAAGAGACAGTGGGAAGTTGTTGGTATCCTTCAAAAAGGACTTACCCCTTTTCCCGGCCCCATTTGTCTCTTTTGAGGGACGGGGGCTGGGGGCCGGGATAATAGGGGCTGTTTAAAGAAGTTGAACCCTTTGGCAATATTAGGAGTCCTCACCCCATACCCTGGTGTCTGGAGTCCCCTAGCCCTTTACCCTGCCCCTACCACATCCCACCCCACCCCTCAACCCCTGTCTCACCAGGGTTTAAAGTCCCAAGGGAAGGCTGGGGGCGGGGGGACTCAAAATGCCCCTTGCATAGGAATCGTTGCATCAAGAATTGGGCCCAAGGACACTCCCACCGACACTGGTGGCGGCGGGGGGTAACCTGAGGCTGTGGGAACAAGGGAGAGATTGCTAATTCTGCTGACCACCCTGCTCCAAAGGGGAGTTTAGGATTCTGGGACCAGTGTGGTCTCTGGGCTTGGGGGAGGTAGCATACTGGAGCCAAGATGGGATTTGAGAAAGTTTTCCACCGCGAACGTGGCACGTGGCGGACAAGGAACGCTGGGAAGGGCAGGCTGAGGTCCTAGCCCAGGTGGGCATGTCCTCTTTTCCTGCAACGTGGGCCACAGCTTTTGTGATCACTTTGGGGCTGTTTTAGGGGGAGAGGGGTTGCCGGAGATTGAACCCCGGGACCTTAGCACATTAGGCAAGCTGTGTGCTTGACTGTCCTTAACTTGCTTTCAAGGTCAACGCCCAACTGCTGCGCTGCCAGGACGCACTGGCCAGGTATGCGCTTTGTGCCTGGCGCGTCCATGTTTTAACTACTTGGTCGTTTGTGCACTCTGCAAACTACAGCACACGAAGAGGGAACAGGAGTCCCACACTCTGGGAAACTCTGTGTTTTGGCACCATCTCGGTGAAAGGGGCTTTGAGGAAGGGGCTGCCTAGACAGAGATGCTGGATGGGGTGGGAGCTCCCTGGAATCAGACAGGCGGAGCCCGTTCAGGAAGGTCTTGCATCAGAGACGCCTGGGACTGAGGAGTGTGATGTCAGGAGGTTGGAGCTCTTGGGGGGTGGAGGGGGGGGGAGCTTGAATGTTTATGGGTGTGTCTGGGCAATGTTTGGGCCCTGAGGACTGTCAGGTCCTGGAGGCTGAAAGTGAGCTGAGGGATTCAAGGGAAGGGTCTGGGAGGGTGGAAGAACACTGCGATGCAGGCCAGGTCAGTGGTGGATGGGTGGAGTGATGGAGGTGTGGAGTGTGGGGCGCCGGCGTGCGCGGGGATGGCAGTGCAGGGTGCCAGGGTCAATCTCCGGAAGTCTAGGGTGCTAGTCTCGTGTTCTGGGATAGAGTAGAGACAGGATGGGGTGGAGGGTTCTGGGCCTGGCGGGCTAAGTCCATGCAGTGACTAGAGGGAGCAGCAGATCCCTGGAGGCGGGCGTGGGTGGAATGCACCAGCTGGAGTCCTCCAAGCCCGGGAGCAGCTGGCAGATCCCCCACCCCCCAGCTGAGCTCCTCAAGGCTGCGGCTGATTAACCTGCTTTCCATTCCCTACATGTTCCTAGAGGGTTTTTTGTTTGGTTTTCCTGAATCGATTAGTGATGGGTGGGTCGCCCTTTGGGGGAGTGATCAGGAAACCCCTAAAATGCCAGCCCCGACCCCAGAAGCTCCCAGCGGCCTTCCCTCCAACTCTCTGCACGCAGCTCCTGGCGGCTTATTGCTGAAGAGGGGGTCCGGGAGGCATGCAAACTGAGGTGGGTGCCCCAAGATGGAATCAGCTTTTAGTTATTTACAGGAGTCGATGGGAGGGGGTTCTATGGCTCATGGAGACCTGAGGTTTGCTTTTTTTTTTTTTTTTTTTTTTTTGGAGAGGGAGACAGGAGGGGGAGCACAGGCTCCGGCCCCGCCCCCTCTATCCTGGGGGCTCTAGTATGTGGGGAGTGAGAGGCCGGGGGTGTCTGCTGGCATCATCTCTTTTGCATATTATTAGTGACTTTTTTTTTTTAAAAAAAAGAACCCTTTCTCTACCCCCCACTCCCAGCTCTTTTTGATCTTCCAATCACCCCCAGTCCCCCCACAGGGGGGAGGGAAGCACTAGAGGATGGAGGGCAGGGTCGGGGGAGCTCGGCGCGTGGCCCGGGGTGAGCCAGGGGGAGTGGCGAGGGGCGCGAGGCGCAGGGACACCCCGCTCAGGCCCACAATGCTGCTCAGGCTGCGGGACTTCTCGTAACCTGGGGAAGGAGCAGAGACAAGGGGGGGGGCGTGGGGATGGGAGGACACACAGAGACCCCAACAGGGAGAGAGGGATGGAGAGGAGACACAGGCAGAGAGAGGGATGGAGAGGAGAGACACCCATAGGCAGGATGGGCGGGCCGAGGAGATGGAGAGAGAGGTGAAGAAATCGCAGTCAGTGGGCATCCACAAGAAAGGTGCAGACACAGGGAAGGGGGGAGACAGGATTAGGAGGTGGGTGGTGCCCACTAAGCCTCCCCACCCAACCTGCCCACCCCTCTTCTCTCCCTCCCCACGGTCCCCTGGTCTGAGGCCCAAAGGCAGCATTTGGCGAGGTGGGATGGTGGGCGGCAGGGGCTGGGGTGGAGGCAGCAGCTGGTGGAGGGGGCTGCGCAGGGGGAGCTGGGGGCCTGGTGCAGGAGGGGGAGGAGATTCCCTGGGACCTTGTGATAAGAGTTCACTGTGTAGCCCAGGCTGGCCTCAATCTCACTATGCTGTCCAGGCTGTCCTAGAACATACTATATAGCTTAGGTTGGCCTCAAATTATGTAGCCCAGGCTGGCCTCAATCTCACTATGTAGCCCAAACTGGCCTCAAACTCACTATTTAGCCCAGGCTGACTTCAAATTCAGTAGGTAGGTAGCCTTGGACTAAGAGTCATGAGCCACTACACTCAGCATGGACATCTTTCACGAGTCCAGGATATGGGATAAGGTGGAGGATTCCAAAACTGGATGGGGTCTGCTGGTGACAGGAAGCAGTAAGGTCACACAGCTCATGGCATCCCACATCAGGACCATGTGGGTGGGTGGGTTTTGTTTTGTTTTGTTTTTCTTTTTGTTTTCTCTGCCAGCACCAGGATGACTGGGAGGCTTTTCTAAGCATCCCAGGCTGGGAGGTGATGCTCTGACTGCAGGAAGGGGCCTGGGGCGGGGGACAGAAGCCCGGCGACTCGGGACACCCCTCCCACCATTCCCATTGCTAACCTGGGGGAAAGGGACAGGGGAAACCCGAGGGTCTCGCGAGGTCTCAGGCGGTGACAAGAGCTGGGGACAGAAATACAGAGAGTCAAGGAAGGGGAATGGGAGGCAGATGGGGGGCTCCCCAACACAGGCTCGCTGTTGGGGGGACGGAGAAACGCCTGGACGTCTTCCTCCTCTCTGGTGTTTTCCGGGGGTGATGGGAGCAGTGAAATGGGGGCAGCCAGAAACATCAAATATGGCGGGAGCTTCCGGGGTGGCCAGGGCAGGGGAGGACCGAGGGCGGGAGGAATCAGGGGGCCAGAGGGTGAAC